TAGCTGACACAGAAATGGGCTCTGTTACCAGAATGTGTTTCATAGTATAAAGTTTGAATTGAGCTGGAGCATAGATGAAACTTTCCATTGGTTCTCTAATTCTGTGTAATGTTCATTCATATTTTTCCTGGAGATCTTTCTGGTCAAACATTGTGTTTGAAAATTCAGGAAATACATAAACTATATTTAAAAACATTTACTTTGTAGTATTGCTATATTATTATAGAACAGATTATAATATTACTGTATAATGAGACGTTTATACAGTCTACACTGTTATACCATGTTACTGAAAAATGGGTTTTAATTTTGGGAATTTGGTACAGTATCGAGATATGATTAGTAAATTATACTCTCTAATGTAATTAGTAGAAAAATAGAAACCATAATTACTTACAAAAATAATATTTAAATGAGTTAAAATATAAATGCTTTCTATGTTCCAGGCATTCTTCTAAGACGTGTTATATAGTCAGTTCATTTTAGAGCTTGTTTGAATCATTTGACTTTAATGTTTATTGACAGGTTAATTGTGTAGTTTTGAAAATGCGTGCTATAACCTTTCATTGTATGAAATTCCAAATGTGCTTCTAGCTGATATATTATAATACTTTCCAAAGTTGAAGTTTCCCATAGGTACTGTCCCTTCATATCTAATTTTTCTGGTTCATTTTTCCTAATTCTGCCTTTATCAACATAGGACAGGGAGAAATCTACGACAAACAATACCTACTTATAAGTCTTCACATAATTGAGCAAACATTGCTCTTTTCTCCAATCTGTATACAACTAACTCATTTATGATGAAACAAGTATCTAAGAGTTACTACTTTACAGCAAGAGCTCTTTATACACATCTCTGTGGACATAAGCAGACATTTGAAATATAAGAGGTAACTGATTGACAGGAGAAATTTCTACCTGAAATATAATTCTTATAATGTATGTTAGTCTACTTAGGAAATGCTAAATTTATTTGTTTTGAGTTTGAATACTGACTTCATAGAGACATGCATTTTTCCTAAACATTTAATAAGTTATTCTAAATTTGTTAAGGGTGTTTTAGGCACCTACACATATTTTGTTTAAAAATGATCTATATTTACCTCAATAATCATTCAGTTTAGTTTTCATCTACTGGTCTTTAGGTCCATCTTATAAAATAATTATTCTTTTAATGAGGTTTTTACTAGAGTGTTAGAATAAGATTTCAGGTTAAAGCAGAAGTTTATCATAGCAGTACTAACTTATTTTAAAATAAGTGAATAGAAAAGTTGTAAGAACAACACTGTGTGTGTGTGTGTGTGTGTGTGTGTGTGTGTATTAAAGCTAACCTTTACTTAGCTTCTCCTAGTGTTAATTATATGCTTGGAGTACCAATAGGTCCAAGGATAATATCTATCTACCATAGATATTTTTCCTTACCTGGGCAGGATAAAATTAAAATGTCATAAGGCAGGTACTTCCTTTCAAAAAGAATTTCTCATTGCGTGGGCTCTCTCTTATCCAGTTAGGAGGTCCACAGAACAGGGTAGAGGAGAGTGTGGCTGCAGAGTCACTAATCAAGACCTCTGGAAACCAAGCAGGAAGTAGGTCTGATTTTATTGCGTAGTTACCATGTACATATACTCAGGCAGTAGCTAAGCAGATTATAGGCAGTCACCAGTGCAGTTTCTGCTAACTATCCTTGCAGCGGCCAATCGAGGAGTGGGCCATGGAGCAAGCACAGGGACTGTAACACATGGCTTCACGCCCAGGGCTGTGCCTACAGGGTAAGTGGCCTGTGGCTTACACACCTAGCGCTCACATACCTAGCATGAGGGGAGTAGCCTGCCACTCCAGACGCCCTCAACGTATGCCATGTGTGCCGTACTCCATGCACTTGTCCCCACATCTGATCTTTATAGCAGATCTTCTGAAGCAGACCGATGGTACATTAGTAATTTACTTTCAGTGCACTTTTAAAAAGCCATGCCCAAAAGTATGTTGTAGAGAAGTATTTCCTTTATTCCTTGTTCCAGATTTCTTTTACAGAAAAGCTTTCAGTGTCCTTTGCTTCATAACCCTTGCTTCCCTAGGTTAATGTGAACTTCTTTCCATTCCCCTGAATCTTAATGTTTTCACTTTTTAGTGACAACAGAGATTCTTTAAGTTTACAGAATGCCAGATGCTGTGTGTATACTTTAATAAGTTGTTTTTCTTTACTCTCCCATGTATCCATTTTCTCTACTATGAGTTGTAAGATATTTTCATTAAGGTATGGGGCTGGAGGCACCAACAGAAAGAGTCATCAAAGTTTCCCAGCCCTAAATGTGCCACACATTGTTTTCAAAGTACTGTTATAGACATTAGTGGAGTCCTTTGCCTACCTTAAAATATTTATAACTTGAGCTTTCTGGCAGAAATTAATATAGACTGATTTAGATGTTTTAATATACCAAAACAAACTCTGGTAAAATTAATAATGTTTTTTTCTTTTACGAAAGATTCTTGTTTAGAAAAACATATATCAGTTACTTTTCAGTCATCTGATTGTTTTGGAAATTGGTAATTTAGGGTAGTATTCTCAGTTTATTACACTATTATTAATATCTTTTGCCAGCCGTCTTTTAAAAATAGACTTTTATATCCTAAAGATAGTTTACATTATTCTCTTTCTGTGATTGTCATTATGCAAATAGATTATGTTGCACTGCTTTCTGTTTTGATCTTAGTGGGCCTAATGGATGATAGGGAAACTAAAGATAATTTGGAATTTAGAATGAGAAAGTGCCACCCTGTGAAATTTGGAAGTTACTAAGGGTAGATATGAATCCTTTGGCAGAAGAAATCCTTCCTAGGAAAGAGTATATCTTTTTTTTTTTTTTAAATATTCTTTTAGTTGTAGATGGACACAATACCTCTATTTTATTTATTTGTTTTTATGTGGTGCTGAGGATGGAACCCAGTACCTCACAGTGCTCTGTCACTGAGCCACATCCCCAGCCCAAGAGTAGATCTTATTAAGAGACCAAGGCCTCTCATAGGACTGACCATTGGGACTAAAAAGGTATTCTACTTGGTAAATTATTTGTTGTAATTTAGCCAATAGATGACTGCATAAAAGGAGAGTCAGAACCCTAAGAATGTTTCCTTGCTTACAGGAGGTGTATGTTCTTTGAGGAACATCCCACCAGTACTGTAATATGCTCTTGTTCTTCCTCATATTCCTCTCTCTTCTCATGCTGTCAGCTGCCAACAGACTGTCTCAGGAAACTACTTTTTTTCCCTCTTCCTGATTAATTTTATATTTCTAATCTGTTATATGCTTAGTTGATTCTTTTATGAGAATTTTGTCTAAAATAAGTAAATTTGCCCTGTGCAAGGCATTGTAAGTATTAGGTATCTGAGACTTTAATAACCCATGAGACTGGTAACATCTGGCTTTTCTGATGGTTTGTTTGTATTTGTCTTGTTCTCAGTTATTTTATGAATAGCTGAAATTACCAGATAGTTGATTTTTGGAGAGAAAAAAGTCTTACAGTATCCCAATTTATAAATTGTGCATTTTATGTATCCTGTAATACTAAATGCATGGTAAATATCCAGTATGATCTTTAGGTTGAGGGTTTTTATTTATCTTTTATGAGGACTTTATAATATGAACATATTGACTCTGTATGCATATAGTTAATAAGAGGGAAAAATTAAATCCAAAAATGACAGGTTGAATTTACACATTAAAGTGTAAGCTATAAAATGTACCCTTTGAAATAGTGGAAAGCAGGACAGGGATCTGCATCATGAACTAATTCTGGAATTGTTAAGTACATTTTTTATGCTTACTAGGTTGGCTAAAGGCCAAGATTTAGTGTCAGATATGAGTCAATCCAGAAATAGTTTATTCTCTGTAGCATTTCCTTGTTACAACTATTATGTTCTCATAGTCTCTTGTGTGCTATTAATACTTGTCAGAATGTTTCACATCTTTTGTTCTGCTCTTATTTAGCTTCTTTGTTAGAAGTGTTTTAGTTCATTCAAGTTATTTTCAAGAGTTTTATTCTGAAATAACTTTGTAATGATTTCATTTTATAAAAGCCTAAGTTTGACTTCATTCATGGAAACAATAAGATATTTACTTAAAATTTGTGGTTCTGTTAAGTCTGAGAATAATAGTATTTTGTGTACAAGAATTTGCTTCCAAAATGCCATATTTTAAGTTTATAATATTCTTGGAAAGTGGGAAAGAGTATACACATCAAAGAAAGCATTTTTATTACATTGGATTACGCAATACTTTGGCCAGCCTCCTCAGCTTCATCTGTTTAAGGGTTCATTTTCGCTTGTTTGGCGCAAGTCCCAGTAGAGGCCTTCAGAATTGTGGTTAGCAACATGAATGAATTACAAACTTTGGACGAGCTCTTCAGTTAGTAGAGCTGGCTTCCTGCCAAAAAGACAGTGCCTTATAAGGGGTCAGGGCAAAGCTGTGATTCGTTGAGCCCTGCATTGTATAGAAAACATACTTGTGATGCCTGTTTGCTTTCTTTTAAAATAAAAACAAAACAAAACAGAAAAAGCAGCAGGCTTCCAAGTCTACCAAAATAGGAAGTAACAAAACAGTGTGCAGGTTTTACTAATGACAGAGTTAAGCAATGAAAATATGGCTCCTTGCTAAAATACTAGAAGTGGAAGTTGGACCCTTTGACCTTCTTAGCCAGCTTGTGATGTAAGTGGCTGAAGCATTTGTTAGGCATCTGTTGTCTCCCTACCTTATTTTATAAATGGTTTAATAAGATTAAATAATCAGTTGATTTCCCACATGTTTACCATACCACTGGGTTTTAGTGTTGACTAGGACATGTTGGAATGGTGAAACTGGAATGAAATTTCCTTTTCAGAAACTCAAAAACTTCTGCTCATATTCTGAAGTTGGAGAGAATAGTTACTAGAACTAGAAGGAGGAAAAACATTAAGATATTTTCAGATATAACTTATTTATCAATGTACTTCTTTTCATTTAGGCCAATACCCTATCTGGATCTTCTTCTCTTAGTCAGGCACCATCTCATATGTATGGCAATAGATTAAATCCAAATCCATCAATGGCAGCTCTCATAGCTCAGTCTGAAAGCAATCAAACAGGTAAGGCTTCAACAATTAAATTCTAAATTCTAATAATCTCTCCCACCCTCATTGGTTCATTTTCTTTGAAGAAGTTTGCAGGTGTGGTTAATAGAGGATTGATTGTTGTTGTTTTACCCAAAGAATCACAGTTGGAAGCAAATAGTATGCTGTGCTGCAAAAGTGATTTTTTTTTTTTTTAACTGTCTGAAATGTAAATGTTTAAGCAGAGCCATCAGCAGGCAGGAATGCAACAATGTCTCCTGTGACTTTTGTGATTGATGTGTTCAGTCCTCAGTTCTATGCAATGAAAGTAACATAACACTAGGCTTTTCTGTGAATAGCCTAAACCTTTATTTGCATAATTCATGAAATTGCATTACACAAACTTGTTTAAAAAAAAAAATCCTGTTAGAGAATTTCTGCAGTGTTTAGTAATCCTGTGAATTTTTACCAGTTGACGTTTTGTAGCTTTTGCCTCTTGTCCTGTTTTAATGAGCCACTGGATTTGCTTTGTTTCATTCCATCCTTAAGGATTTGTTGACATGTCCAAGTAGTCATGCCTGTTTGGGGGAAGGGAATAGGTTTAGCAGTTCACCAAGAATGGATCAGTCATGTCTTTACCCTTCAAGGGTCAGAGGTTACCTGACTCAGAATAAGGGGAGGACAACCTTGAAAGAGGCCAGTTAGGGTTATTTTATAAGGGGCTAACTGCAGGGAAAATGTGTTACCCTTCAAGCAGAGATACTCTGTTGTTACCTATGGAGTATTTAGAAGACTTAAAAATTATTTTCTTTTAAATATAGAATTCTGGATTTCTGCTTGTTTGTGTCAGTTTGTAAATTTCGTGTTATGTAATTTCATTCTTGGTATAAGGATTCATGTAACTTTAGCTTGGTAAAAGGTATGACTTGTCTTGGGATGCAAAGTGTTAAAAAATACAAAGCATAAAGATTTGCTGTGATAAGCATACAGATTATCTGTCCACAGCTGTGATTCATTACTTTAACCGTAGAAATTAAAAGTGGCTGAGGGGAGGGTTCTGCAAATTCAAACCACACTTCTGTGCTGTAAAACTGAAAGGAATGAAAGAACAGAACATAATCCATGGCCTTCTACACCCACAAAAACGTGTAGGGACAACGCTTTACACGCCACAGTTCAGCAGTTCTAAACTAGTAATATGCTAGATCTTTTCCTTTCATAGTACTGGAAAGGTAGTGGTAAAGGTTTAATGTGTGTTTTAGGAAAAATCAGGGCAAGAGCTTAAAACCTCTTATCTAGTGAAAGAGTCACTTTATCAGCTCTGAAATATTTACACTGCAGATCAAGATCTTGGAGACAATAGCCGAAGCCTAGTTGGCAGAGGAAGCTCACCCAGAGGAAGTCTCTCACCACGGTAAGCACTATTTACCTCTATTTACACTACCATGCATCTCTGCAAAGGAAACATTCCACATTCTGGAAACTTGTTATCTTCTATTAGTAGAGTGAGCATTTGTGAAGCCCTAAAAGCATTCTGTAGATAGGAAGCTTGTCTAGACAGTCAAGAAAAATGATTCTAAATTAAATTTGAATGTTAATTAAAACACATGATTAAGATTTCTGCACTAAAAGGAATATCTTAGGTTTCCAATTAGTTAGAACTCTATTGTTTTTATTACCTCTATATTTAGCTGCTGGTACTCCTCAGGCATTGATTTGGGTGACATAAAATAGTCCTAAGATCTCTCAAAGCTGCAAACTCAAGTCTTAAAACTTTGGGTTCCAGTTTTAACTCTGTAGTGGGCAGTACATTTATCCTTAGTTTGTAATTCCTTTTTTTGGGGGGGGCAAACAGAGTTCTTGTGGTAGGTTTCAGAAGTCCTTCTTATTCTTAAATTGTTTGAGGCAAAATATAGAAGATGTATTAAATGCTTTGAGAAATTCTCCTAGACACATGACAGCATTCAGGTACCATTTATTATTAATATGCAACTTATCAATAAATGTAACTTACAGAACTGTGTTTTTTTTCTGTTCTAAAATGAGAGAATGATAGTATGCAGCAGTGTATGTCAGTCTATAGAAGAGAATGGAACTTTAGTGTCATGCATGTCTTCACTTTATTTTACTTTTTCAGCTTCTGCACCTTCTTCTAGTTTGTTTTTTTATTTTACAAACTCTGCTTCAAACATTAGATTGAATGAAAATGGAGAACAGGAGGAGAAAAGCTCAGGCCAGGCCAGGGTCTTTTCTTCATGTCTGGGAGTAATTCTATTTAAAATTGAAATTTTGTTCAATCTCTAGTAAAAAATTTTATAAAGTGACAAATGATGAGTATTAATGTTGCCAATATAGTTGGGTAATGTGTAAAGGAACATCTTTATCAGTATAGACATTAGTCAAACAACCCTGTTTCCTAATGGTACATCTAGTAGTGCTTTTCCCTCATCCTGATTGAACTCTGCAGAAAATTAAATATTCTTTCTTTAGAAACCAGAAATATGAAATATACAATGAAAAAAATTACCTCACTGATTTATAAGTATTTCTATACTTTTCAAAGAAGAAAGTTAGTGGATTTTTGCTCATATGTTTTAGTGGAGGAAATATTCTTTATCCCCCTTTTAAACTTAAAATTTCACACAAGTTACCCAGAATTATTCAGAATCCCTTAGTGTTCCTTACTTTGGTGTTTTTAATCTTCATTTTTTATGGAACGTAACATAATAAATGGTACTAATTTACTTTTAGCATGTATTTCCAACTTTGTATTACTTTTTGGGCTGTGGTTGTGACTCAGTAGAGCACTTGCCTAGCACATGTGAGGTACTGCATTCAATCCGCAGCACCACATAAGTAAATAAATAAAGATATTGTGTCCATCTACAGCTAAAAATATTAAAAAAAAAAAAAAGCCTGAGCCACGTGATCCCAGCTATTTAGTAGGCTGAGGTAGGAGGATCGTGAGTTTGAGGCCAGCTTGGGCAATTTTAGGAGACCCTCTGTCTTAAAATTTAGAAAAAGTTCCCAGTGGGTGGTGGCTAGGAATGTAATTCCTTGGTTTAGTCCGCAGTATAGTGATGAGGTGTGTGTGTGGGTGTGTGTGTGAATCATCCTGAAATGTAAAACCTAGACTATCATTATCCTGGCATAATGTGGTATTTGGAGAGGGATGGCCAACTGTATTTAGCACATGATGTTTGCATGTGAAATAGAAAGCTTTATTTGTTGAACTTCTTATTTTAAGATATTTTTGTAGAGAAGCATATTAAAACTATGGCAAGAACCTTAGTGAAATGTTAGAAGACCTGAATTAATGTGACTAATGGACAAGTAGTATGTCTTCGGACAAGTTGTCAAAGCCCCATTTTGTTTCCTTATTTGAGAATGGAGCCAAAACCCCAGGTTTTTATTTCTCACCAGGTTGATGTGAAAATCAAGAGTTAATTATATAGAAACACATTGAAAACTTTAAGACTCTTTACTGATGTATTGTGGTAGAATGAAGTTTGGCCACATTTTAATTCAAAACATAATGTGGACAAGAGAACATTGCATGTTTATCTTAATACAAATAGTATTTGTCTTAGATTAAGTGATTATCATTTGAAGTAGAGATTTAAAAGACTTTTAAAATATTTGTACAATGGAATTAATTGTTTAGGGCTGGCCAAGCACAGTGGCAACATGCCTGTAATCCCAGTGACTCTGGAGGCTGAGGCAGGAGAACTTCAAGTTTGAGACCAGCCTCAGCAATTTAGTGAGGTCCTAAGCGACTTAGTGAGTTCGTACGTACGTATGTGTGTATATATATATATATTTACATATATATTTATATATTTACATACATATATATATTTACATATATATATGTACGTACGTCCGTATGTTTTTTTGTGTGTGTATGGCGTAATGTTCCTTCGTACTGAAAATTCTTCAAAATAAGTGACTTTGAATTTATATCAGAATTGCTGAAATTTCCTTTTCACTGATTTATTTTTTTAAGTTGTTGATGAACCTTTATTTTATTCATTTTATTTCTATGCGGTGCTGAGAATCAAATCCAGTGCCTTACACATGTGAGGCAAGCGCTCTACCGCTGAGCCACAACCCTGGCCCTTTTTCTGATTTTATAACAAAAAATTTTTTAGCTGTAGGTGAACACAATACCTTTATTTTATTTTTATGTAGTGCTAAGGATCGAGCCCAGTGCCTCACGCTAGGGGAGCACTCTGCCACTGAGCCACAACCCTAGCCCTTCTTTTCACTGATTTTTGAGATTTTATTAGTTATAAATTTATTAGTTATTGAGATTTTATTAGTTATAAATTTAAATATTTATAATTGTATGGCCTTACTCTTTTATCATGTATATTAAGGCAGAATGGTGGAACTCTTTACTCTTTACAGTTTTTCTTATCTTTTCCTTGTTTGTATTCTAAGCGATGAAAAGTTCTTTTACAGTTTTTTTCAGAGATTATTGGTGGTATGTTTGTATTTTTTAGTTACCTAGTATGGTGAGCTATTTCCTTGATTTCATAATTTGAGGAGGAAAAATAATAATTACTCAATTTTAGGGTAGATTATGGTTTTATAAATGCAGGAATCTGATACTCTGGCACAGGTAACCTTGTAACAGACAAACTTGTACAGAGAAAGGGGGTCAACATAAGGTAAGAAACTTAATGTACTCATCTTAAAAGCATTGCCCTTCTTTTTAACTTGAGATTTAATGTTTTCAACAGATCCCCTGTAAGCAACTTACAGATTCGCTATGACCAACCAGGAAACAGCAGTTTGGAAAATCTTCCTCCAGTAGCAGCCAGTATAGAACAGCTTTTGGAGAGGCAGTGGAGTGAAGGACAACAGTTTTTATTAGAACAGGGGACTCCTAGTGACAGTAAGTACTGATTTTCTTGTCTCTAAATAAAGATGAATGGATGGATGAACGGATAGACAAATGGATCCGGAAGCCACTTTTTTTAGTCCAAAATAATAATGAAATTAGTCAGAAAGTATAATGTATTAGTTTAATAGAGATTCGACTGCTTTAACTTGAATCCTGCCTTCATCTGCTATTAACAAATTTAGAATTTGGAGTAAGAGCATACCTATATCTTAGGGTTGTTTTGAAGACATGAAAAATGCAAAGAACACTACCTGCCATGCATGAGAACTTTCTTTTATCTGGTTACTATTTATAATTATTATAACATTAATGCTTTATTTCTCCATCACATTTTGTCCTTACCAGTTTACAAAAATAAATGAGCTCTATCTTCTCTAAGCTTAGTTGTTGGACAAAAGTTTTCTCACTTCTGGATAATTTCTTAAAAAAAAAAAAAAAAAACCCTGAATATAGTAAAAAAAAAAAAAAAAGGCCCTCTACCTTCTTAATTTAACAATGTAAAAGAATCATAATTACCAAATTTTGTGTGTATATGTAAATATATACACAATTAGGATATATTATATATAGAGTTTACATTATGTTTATCATATATTTATTAAATTATTGAAACAAAACTTTTATTGCTAGTGAGCCAGGGACCATAAATTGGCATTTTTATGAATGATCTCTGACCAAAAAACGCTAAGTGTAAGGAAATTCATGCCAGGATAATCCTTTAAACCCGATAGCTGGAGGACAGGTTTAGCTTAGTCTTATTGCATCTGATTTGGGCACACTAAGGGTTTCTTTGTGGCATCTTGAAGAGGAGGGATAAAAGTTAAATCCTTGGGAAATGACCACATGTGTCCTTACCAGTAGAGTTGTGTCCTTTGAAGGACCTGAGGTCATGTTAAACAAACACAACTCTTAAATACATGGAGTTTTTAAAGTGTCCATCACCATAGCCTAACAGCAAGGCTCTGTGTTGTCAGTTGGGATGTCTGAGGCTTGGATGAAATTAACAATGTATCTGAGATGATGGGGCAGAAAGAAAGCCAGTTTCCAGAAGATGCACCTTTGTCTGGGAGGACAGAGGTGGCAGGGGTGCACATACAGCGCTCCCTGCTGGGGGATGTTTGTAGCAACATGCTGAGAGCAGCTGGGTATTGGAGGCTTCCTGCCAGGCATCTGGTGGTGTGCTTAGTAATCCCCCCACTCCAGCCCCCTACTCCCCGCCCCCGTACCCCCACCTCCCTCTGCCACACACCCTCCTCCATGCTGGGAATTGAACCTAGGGCCTTGTGTAGCTAAGCAAGGATTCTAACACTGAGTTATTGCCCCCAGCCTAGCATGCTTAGCTTAAATTGAGCAACGAGTAAAAGGTTCCTATTGTGAATAGGACTTCAATGAAATGTTATGGCAGGCACTTTGAAGTTTTAATTAAGCTTTTTATTTTGAGGAAAATAAACTTATCATTTTTTTCTTTGAGACTGGAAATAACCTGAACCCAAGGAGTTTTTGGTATGTGGCAACAGTGTTTCTAGATGGCACATCTAGGAACAATCTCCTTATGTACATACAGATAAAAATGACATTTATTATCTGTATAAACTTAAAATTAAGCCTTGTTTAGAAATATTGTACAGGACTTTTATATTTTTAACTTATTTTAAAGTTATCGACACTGTGTCCGTGAAAGACTTATTCCTGGGTATGAACGTGTCTCCATTAAAAACCATCCAAATGTTTGCTAGTTTTAGGAATGCTGAAGTCATTACATCAACTTCAAGTTGAAAATCGAAGATTAGAGGAACAGATTAAAAACTTAACTGCCAAAAAGGAACGTCTTCAGTTATTGAACGCACAACTTTCAGTGCCTTTTCCGACAATAACAACAAATCCTAGTCCATCTCATCAGATACATGCGTTTTCAGCACAGACTGGTGAGTATGAAAACATTTATTTTGTATATGAGGAAAATGGGATAGACTTCTAATGTCAGTTGTATAATAAATAGGTGATAATTGCTCACTAGTTCATATGAAGATGTAGAGAAGGAATGATGGGATATTTTTGAAGGGCATAGAGAATCCTATTAAGTGATTGACTTGATTTGCTCTCCCTATTTTTTTTCCCTCCGCAATACTGAAAATTGAACCCTGGGGCATTCAACCACTGAGCTTATACCCGTAGGCCTTTTTATTTATTTTGAGATAGGTCTTACTGAGGTTGGCCTTGAACTTGTGATCCTTCTGCCTCAGCTGCCTGAGTTTCTTGGATTATAGGCATGTGCCACCATCTCTGATGACTGGCTACTTTGACTTCTCAATACATAGTTTGATGATATTTGTTTAAATGTGTAATGATCTCATTAGTGATTTAAAGCTATGGTGTTCAGTAGAGATACAGTTTTGGTTTTTTGATTTTTTCATTCAAACTGATTTTAGAAATAGTAAGATTTAATAATATTCAAGTATTATTAGTATGGACTTCAGCATAAGCTTTTACATAAACCTATAGTCTTACACATAGTATGATTTAGCAGGGTAAATAAATGTAATGTTTTGTTTTGTTTTGTCTTTTATTATTCTAGCTCCTACTACTGATTCCTTGAACAGCAGTAAGAGTCCTCATATAGGAAACAGCTTTTTACCTGATAATTCTCTTCCTGTATTAAATCAGGTAATTTTTGTGTGGTTATAATAATTTGTATGTTTTACTTATAAGCAGTAGTCTATAACATTAAATGGCTTAAAATTATTTTAAACAGCTTTACTGTGCTCTTTACAACTTAATTTTTATTTTTCTTCCATTAGGACTTAACCTCCAGTGGACAAAGCACCAGCAGTTCATCGGCTCTTTCTACTCCTCCTCCTGCTGGGCAGAGTCCAGCTCAACAAGGCTCAGGAGTTAGTGGAGTTCAGCAGGTCAATGGTGTGACAGTAGGGACACTAGCTAGTGGGATGCAGACTGTGACATCCACCATTCCTGCTGTGTCTGCAGTGGGTGGAATAATTGGCGCTTTGCCAGGGAGCCAACTGGCAATTAATGGCATCGTAGGAGCTTTAAATGGGGTCATTCAGACCCCTGTGACAATATCCCAGAACCCTACCCCCCTGACCCACACAACTGTACCACCTAATGCAACACATCCTATGCCAGCTACACTGACTAACAGGTAAGAAACTTAAATATTTTTTGGGTTTTTAGTACAAGATAGTACTAGTGTTATCCATGCTTTAGGTTGGGACTTGTAATGTGTTTCTTGTAGATGTACTGTCAGTCAGTCTACCAGAAATTTAAAACCAAGTATATAATATGTAGAATATATTTCTTTTTGAAACTTATGTAATTCCAATTAAAATTAAATCAGTGTCCATAACAAAGTATTGTCTGTTGAAAATTTCAGTTTTGATCTGTGATGTCTGTTTTTAAATGATAATTTTCCTCATTCCCCTGTATATTGTATTCATGCGTATCATAAGCTCTGAAGAAGAGTAATAGTATAGTGGTTATCACTACTGATACTGGTTTCTTAACTTTCTATTCAAAGTGTTGAATTTGACAAAATAAAATATTTTAATATAAGATTAAGGGCAGATATTTATCTTGCATTTCCAGGAAGCAAGTTTCACTATTTCCATTGTATTAGAGTTTCACTTGAATATTTGTTCAAAATAAGGGTAATAAAGCCATGTTTTTATTAAACATATTTTGAGAGAGTAATTTTGAATGATTTGCAGTGGGTACTAGTAAGCTATTTCTTTTGGCTTTTTTTTTTTATTCCCCCCTCCTTTTCCCCCAACTGATGCTTAATTTTATTGGCCACTGGGACCATTAAAAAAAAAGGATATATTAAGGTCTGGGGATGTGGCTCAGTGGTAGAGTGCTTGCCTAGCATGTACAATTTGATCTCCAGCACTGCCCCCCCTCAAAAGGCTAGGTTTAAATAATGACAGATTCTGTCTTTGTTTTAAGTATGTATTACTTAGTGTGGGTTAATCTATATTTGAATAATCAAAGATGTTACATGTGCTTTGTTATAAACACATGTAAATTTCTGTTCCATAAAACAAATTTGTGCCTGTTTGGTTCATAATAAAAATAGAAACAAACACTTCTTGGCAATGTGAATTCTTGTTTAGCTGTATATAGAAAGAGAAGAAATAATTTGTACATAATTATTTTTTAAAAAATGTTATGGTTAAAAATTTGTTAACTTTTCAATCAAATACTTAATAAGTTATCTTTCATTTTACATTTTAAAAAAGACTTTAGAAGTGTGTAGCAAGTAAGAATTTTAATCATTTTTCAGTGCCTCAGGACTAGGATTACTTTCTGACCAGCAAAGACAAATACTAATTCATCAACAGCAATTTCAGCAGTTGTTAAATTCTCAACAGCTCACACCAGTAAGTTCTTTTGATAACATTTGATTTTTATTAGAGCAAGTGTTCTAAACTGTAATAGGAGTTACAATAATTTAAGGTAGGTATTGATTATTCTCTTGTGAAATAACATTATCGAAAGCATAATCCAAAAAATTTGCCCACCATTTGGTATAATTGGTGTACCTGGGGTGATATTACATTCAGCCATTAATCTACAAATATTAGAACATGTATCATAGGCCAGGCTCAGTGGCACACACCCAACAACTCAGAAAGCTGAGGCAGGAGGATCACAGGTTCAAGGGCAAAGTCAGCATCTTAGTGAGATCCTATCTCAAAACTTTAAAATTAAGATTGAAAAGGGCTGGGAATGTAGCTGAGTGGCAAGGCCCCTCTGGGTTCAGTCTCTATTAATAGTCACTGTTATAGGCTGTTGTGATATAATGGTGCATTAAGACATGGGAATAAGAAAGATAGTAAAATGAATCGGGCATAACTTTCCTATGTTCACATATGAATACATGACCAGCATATGTATCATGTACAACTAAAATAATGGGAAGTGTTACACTCCATGTATGTATAATATGTCAAAATGCACCCTGCAGTCATGTATATCTGAAAAGAACAATTTTTTAATATATTTTTTTTAGTTGTAGTTGAACACAATACCTTTATTTTATTTATTTATTTTTATGTGGTGCTGAGGACCGAACCCAGAGCCTTGCACATGCTAGGTGAACACTCTACTGCTGAGCCACAACCCCAGCCCCTGAAAATAAAGAAATTTTAAAAAGAATTAAAAAAAAAATTTAAAAAATTTAAAAAAATTTTTAAAAGTCTGTTTTCATGGAGCTTCATTTTGATAAGGGAGAGAGACAGTAAATATGTGCTTTTTCATAGTGACAGATACTGAGAAGAAAAAAGCAGAATGAGGGGATAGAGAATAATGAGATGGGGTCTTGTTATTTTATTTACTTATGTAGGGCCTCACTCATGCTAGGCAAGCTACAACTCTGGCCCCACTAAGGACCTTTTTAGATAGGATGCTGCAGCTTCTATGGGGAGGGGGTGTTAATGATTTTTGAGCAAAGACCTGCATAAAAGTTGAAGAGAATGCCTTTTTTACTTTGGGGAAAGAGAAGGTGTGTTCAAGGCAGAAGCAGTTGTAAAGACCTGGCATGTGTTAGGTTCTGGAAGACTAGAAGGCAGGCCGCAAGAGAACAGTTGAGAGGTAAGGGAGGTACTGTCTAGAAATCACATGTTGCCTTGTTTGGCTGTGGCAGGAAGTTCATATTTTGTTTGAAGTATAATAGAAAGACACTGGTCGTATGTTTTGTTTTATTTTGTTTGAGGGAGTGGGTTACTGGAGATTGAACCCAGGGCCTTGAACGTGCTATGCTAGTCAGTTCCTAGCCCTTTTAAAAATTTATTTCGAGACAGGATCTTGATAAGTTGCCCATGCTGACACCAAAATAGCAGGCCTTCTGCCTCCCAAGCAGCCAAGATTACAAGCATGTGCCGCCATCATGCCTGGCCTTTGTACTTTGGGAATGTTCATGTATACATAAAGTGGAGAGTAGAGTATACTGAAACCCCACGTACCCATCGTTCTGTCACTTGGCTTTAATAATTATCCTAGTTTTGTCATCTTTTTAGGTACCGGGGATTGAACTCAGGGGCACCACTGCCACTGAGCCATGTCCCTAGCCCTGTTTTGGCCCTTATTAGAGACAGGGTCTCACTGAGTTGCTTAGCGCCTTGCTGTTGCTGAGGCTGGCTTTGAACTAGTGATACTCCTGCCTCAGCCTCCTGAGCCACTGGGATTACAGGCATAAGCCACCGCACAGGGCCCCCAGTTTTGTCTATCTTGTTTTGTCTAACTCCAGTTTTTTGAGGGTTATTTTAAAAATCAACGAGAGGGTTTTGAACCCAATAATGATGTGATATTTATTTACATAGTACTGAAGATTGAATCCAGGGGCACTTTACCACTGAGCCATATCTCCAGTCCTTTTTATTTTTTATTTTGAAACAAGATCTCACTAAGTTGCTTAGGATCTTGCTAAATTGCTGAATCTGGCCTCAAACTTGCAATCCTCTTGTCTCAGCCTCCAACTTACTGGGCTTACAAGCATGAGCCACCACTGCACCCAGCACTCAAAAGACTTTTTTAACTGAAAAAAATTAGAGAAAATAGGCAGCAAAAGAAAAAAAGACATAGCATAAGGGTCTGTTTTTGTTAATTTTGAATATTACAGTTGTATATGTTGAAAGGAAATTTCCTGGTGTAGGAGAGGAAGGGTTCTAGCAGAGCAGCAGGGTTGTTAAGGAAGAGGAGATAAAGCAGCTCACTGGAATGCCAGGGCAGAAAGCGCTGCCATTAGTCATTTATGATAAGAAGCTGAGGAAATTAATGCTTTTAATGTTTCTGATTTTTTTTTTTTTTCTCTGTTGTGCTGGGGATCAAACCCAGGGCCTCACACACATGCAAACAGGCCCTTTACCACTGAGCTACACTCCCAGCCCATTATGTTTCTGGGCTTTTGTGATTCTGATGATTGATCCCTGGAGTGCTGTATCACTGAGCTACACCCCCAACCCTTTTATTTTCTTTTAATTTTTGAGACAGGGTCTCATTAAGTTGCCCAGGCTGGCCTCAAGCTTATGATCCATCTATCTCAGCCTTGAGTTGGTGGGATTACAGGTGTGCACCACTGCACCTGGCTGCTGATTTTCTTAACTAGAAGTAAAGTTTCTGGACCAGTGAATGAGATAGATAGGGGTATATCTTATAGAGGAAAGAAAAAGCTGAGAAATATGTATCTTGGAGAAGGGTGAAAGACTTGACAAAGTCATACATGGAGCTGTGAGGCTCAAGTGCAAGGGCAGTACTGGCTCTCTCTGTTCATCATTATAAAGTCAGATCCAACTGACAAGCTGTATGATTTTTCTCCAGCCCCATTTCTGTAGCACACTTCATTTAGTTGTGCTATTTGGAGAATGCATTAATTAATTAATTAATATGGGGTGCCAGCCATGCAGACTTTGTCTGTAGTTTCTTTTGAAAATACGTACTCTTCTAGGACTAGGGTTGTTGCTCAGTGGTAGAGCTCTTGCCTAGCAAGAGGCCCTGGGATCCATTCTCAGCACCACATATAAATAAATGAATAAAATAAAGATCCATCAACATCTAAAAAAATATTTAAAAAAGAAAATATGTACTCTCTTGCTTTAGTAAAAATATGTATGGCAAAGACTTGTTTTGACCGAATCAAAACTGACATTGTTTTACATTGTGTAAAAATAGTTTTTTTATATCTAAGGTCTGGGGTTGTGGCACAGTGGTAGAGCACTTGCCTAGTATGCACGAGGCTTGCCTAGTTCGTGGGTTCGATCCTCAGCACCACCTAAAATTAAATAAATAAATAAAATAAAGGTAGTCTGTCCATCTACAACTAAAAAAAAATGTTTTAAATAGATTACATCTAAATTGTTTATACTGAAGCTGGGCATAGTGGCTCAGGAGCCTGAGACAGGAGGATCATGAGTTCAAAACTAGCTTCAACTACTGAGTGAGATCCTGTCTCAAAATTTAAAAGGGGGGCAGCACCTGGGAAATGTAGCTCAATGATAAAAGTGCCTTTTTTGTTAAATCTTCAGAACCACCCCCCCAACCCCTTGGGAAAAAAAAAACAAAATCCACATTTATACTAAAATGTGATGTTATTTTCTTACCTCTTGTCTTATCTTAGTAGGAAATACTAAAACTCAGTTTATTTGGGCCTCTTTCTGTTAAGTTTTTAAATAATAATAGCGTGTTTAGACTTCTCATTTCTAAACCATGGTTAATGAAATTTCAGTACAAATTATTGGCTCAGACCATAAAGACAGAGGGGTTTAAATGCTCTCTTTTTCTTCATTAGCCAAGTTGACAGGTAAAGCTTGTTCCTTTGTGGGCAGACTTTATGTAGGTAAAATTTTTGTTACAGGCACATGCAACTCCAATTTAAAAGTAACTCTTGCTTGACCCACTTCTCGAACCAGGACAGCACTGTTTCTTATCTCCTCCCAGGAGACATTCACTTTGTGAAGCCTAATGATCAGTCCTCGTTCTTCGTTTTACCTGATCTGGCAATAGCATTGGACAGAGTTGATCACTTTTCTTGCTCTTCGAAACATGTTCTTCCCACGATTTCCATGATTCCTCATTATCTTGCTTTTCTTCCTACCTAACCAGTTCTTCCTTTTTTGCCTGATTTCTTGGGGTTCCCCTCTTCTCTTTAGCGTCTCACTTTCAGTACCCTAGAATTCAGTGAGCGCCTCCAGTCACATTATGTTTACTAAATTATGTTTACTGTGTAATCTTCATCCCAGGCCTGTCTTTGGAATTTCATATTTCTGGATCCAACTGCTTTACTCAGTATCTCCACTTGCAAATCCTTTACTTTTGGGGGAGGCGCTAGGAATTGAATTTAGGGTTACTGAACCACTGACCCCGATAGGGTCTCTAAATAAAAGTTGCTTAGCACCTTGCCATTGCTGAGGCTGGTTTTGAACTTGAGATCCTTCTGTCTCAGCCTCCTTAGCAGCTGGGATTATAGGCATGTGCCACTGCACCTCGCTTCAACTTGCAAATCTTAAAAGATATTTTAAACATATTGTGTCATGAACTGAATTGCTGATCTTCTTCCACAAATCTGCTCCACCCAGTTTTCTCCACCTCAGATGAGCATCCTTCTAGTTGCTCAAACCCAGAACCCTCTAGTCTGTTCTTTCTGTGATACACCCCACATTGACTCTATCAAGAAATCTAAAGTCAGATTATGTCACTCTGCTCAAAACCTTCCACCGGCTTCCCATTTTGAGAGTCTTCATGATGTGGAACTGTGAGCCCTGCATTCTTCTCCCACATCCTATGTACTTACTCCAGCCTCACTGAACTCCTTGCTGGTCCTGGATATGCTGCTCTGTGGGCCACTGGCACTTGGCTGATCCACCTGCCTAGAGGTCCCCTCCTTACTCCATGTCCACTCATCTCTTTGTCCAGATGTTAACTTCTCAATGAGATCTGCCTTAACCAGTCTATTTAAAATTGCAAAGGGACCACCCTACCCCAGCAGGCTCTCTCACATACAATAATCACATTGGAACATTTTTGTCTTATTTGTCTCTCTCTGATCTCTCAGGGTAGGCAGCCAGGGACCCTGTCTCCCTAAAAAACAGTGCCCGCTTCATAGTAAATACTCAGGAAATGTCTGTTGAGTAGACTATATGTTTGCTATAAAGCAATAGTTCATAACTTCATTAAGAGAGACCCTTTGTGAGGCATGAAACTTTTAAAAGTTGTTTTAAGTCTGGTAAGGGAAGGGTTTGGTTCACATGATGCACCCCTCTTCTTTGTGTGTATCTGGGGGAGAGGGATACTGGGGATTGAATCCAGGTGCACTTTACCACTGACCTACTTCCCTTCTCTTCATCTTCTCTTCCTCTCCTCTTCTCTCCCTCACTTCTCCTCTCCTCTGTTCTTTCCCTCTTCTCTCTTCTCCTCTCTCCTCATGGACAGCATGCCTTTATTTTATTTGCTTATTTTTGTATATGGTGCTGAAGATTGAACCCAGTGCCTCACAGATGCTTAGGCAAGTGCTCTACCACTGAGCTACAACCCCAGCGCCCAGTCCTTTCTTTTAATTTTTTATTTTGAGGCAGGTTTGCACAAAATTGCTGAGGTTAGCCTTGAACTTGAGCTCCTCCTGCCTCTGCCTCCTCAGTCATTAGAAATACAGGCGTGTATCACTGTGCCCAGCCACATGATACGTTCTGAATCAGAGATAACTGTGACTCATCTAAGTTGCTCTTTTCCTTGATCATCATGGGCAACCTAATTTGAACGGAGGTCTTCTATATTTGCCCTGTTTTGAAAATAAGCTGGTGATATTGACATTTTATAGTAGATGGGGATTATTCAATGCAGCTTGTTTTCTAAGTCAGATTCTTGATTTCCTTAATAGTGTGAAGTGACACATCACTTAAATATCTAATGTTAAAGTAAAGAGAGAAATATAAAAGGCTGATGCTGCTGACTTCTGTGACTAGGAACTTATTTTATCCCATGGTTTGGCCTTAGGAACAGCACCAGGCCTTTCTGTATCAGCTGATGCAGCACCAGCAGCACCACCCACCGGAACTTCAGCAGCTGCAGATCCCTGGCCCTGCGCAGATACCCATCAACAACCTTCTTGCAGGTACTCAGGCGCCCCCACTTCACTCGGCTACCACCAACCCCTTCCTCACCATCCATGGAGACAATGCAAGTCAGAAAGTCACAGTAAGTGTGTGTTCTGTGTTACAGCTGATGAAGTAATAAGAACTGTATTGATTAATCACAGAAGATTGTTCTCTAGTCTCTTAAAAAAACATATTATTCCTCTGATAAACCAATTATTTCAGCAGCTGGATATTATAAACACAAAGGATCTAATCCAATTTATATACCTCTTGAGTATCTTGACTTTAATCTGCATATAGGTTTGCATCTGTTGTATAATTTTCAAAATGAAAATATGTTTTAGTTAGCAAGTTGTATGGGACAGTCCAATCCAGCGAAAATAGCTGTTTTCCTAGTGACTTTGCTTATTGATTTTGCTAATTATATAGAACAGTCTGTATATTTTAGGACTATTTCTATTTTGATACAAAGTATTTTTTAAAATTGAATTATAACTAATATATAAATTTTAGAACAGGTAATAAAAGTATTCTTCCGTATTTTTTAAAAAGTAAATCACAGTCACATTTTAATGGAATTTAAATATTTTATTACATGTAAGTGATAGCATCTTACCCTTTCAATGTAAAAGTTAAGATAAATTAACAATGGATGCAGGAACAGTATGCTGTACATACAATGGCACACAATTTAAGGCTGTTTCTTTCTATTAATTCTCCCCTTCAATCAGGTCTACTTTACTGGAGTATAAATGTGTCCCCTAAAGTCCAGTTGAGGGCAGAACCCTGTTAGATGAAGGATATTGGGATATAGAATGGAGACTGGACATCAGGAAAAGGAAGAAGGGGAAGAATGAGGTGGGAGACTTGGCAAATAAAAGTGTTAAAAGTCACAATGTTTGCTATTTCCCATTACTTTTGAAAATTTCTGTCTACTGTGTTTTTAGTCTTCAGAAACTTTAGTTTTTATTTAGTAATGAGAACTGGTTGAAAATACAGGATAATTGTTTTTCATTAACTCTTTAATGGTTTTTGTTTGTCTTCTTGTTTTGCCAACTTCCTGATTGTGAATACTGTTATCACAAACCTTGTTACTTCTCCACTGTTTTGCTAACATGGGAAATATCAGTGATTCTGTATTAATTTAGAAATTTTTGTACTCTTTTTTCTACTCTTTTGTTCACTAGTTTTTCTTCTTGTGTTAAAAAGTGAATAAATTGCAAACTAAGGTTTCCTGAGTTATATAGTATGAGATGTATTTTTTGGTAGGAGAACCACAGTAATAAATATAAAAATAAACAGATTACCTATCAATTAGCTAATAGGGGTGAGCAGGGCTAGGAAGTGAGACTCACCACTTCCCTGCCAGGTGGCAGGCATCCTTGTCAGATACATGGCATTATGTGATTTCACCCTTTAACAGGTAGTGACTGCACTTGTTTATAACAGCAAAAGGAGATTCAAAGAGGTTAAAGTTCAAAGGACAAATAGCAAATGTGGGACCAGAGCCTGTGACTTTCGTAGCCCATAAAAAAAACTCATTATAAAGTTGATTTGGGTGGATGAATTCTGCATTCTTGCCTTGGGAGTTCTATCCCACAGGTGGGCACACTGCCTCTTTTATTTTGGAATACTACTGAATTTACTGTTTTGAAAGTAGTTACTATTAAATTCATGGCTTTACATTATACTGAAAAGTAGCCATGCCAACTTGCAGAAGAAAAGGCATAACTGTATACCACATTTTATCTGTTACGATTTCAGTTAAAGAGGATAATACCGCAAGTGTTGTTCAAAATTTATTCAACTAATGCATCTGATATTTTTGTTTGTTTTAACTGCAGAGACTTAGTGATAAAACTGGGCCTGTAGCTCAAGAGAAAAGTTGACATTTGAGAAGCATCTAAAAGTTGCTTATCCTGCTGCTCTGGCACTTCATCTGGCTGCTGTTGCAGTCCTTGCTACAGCTATGAAGAAACGCAACAAGAAACCGCACAACCAAGGATTGCCACAGGACTTCTTGTAAGGCTTTGATTAATTTTCTTGTTGCTTTGTTGCACTGAAATGGAATTCCCACATCCCTACCCCCACCCAAAAGTTTTTGAACTTTCAAAGAAAATTTAATAACTTTTGTCAATGAAATAATTTACATGCAATGAGTTTATCAACCCATGAAAAGTTTAATGTAGTTGGTGCACAACTAGTTTTGTTATAAATTAGAGATACAAATAGCAAAACTAAACATTTGTTCCATATACAAGCTACTTGGTCTTGTACAAGTTGGGATATGAAATATGATCTCTTATTTGGGCTCCATTGTGCTTGCTCTCTGTAAGTCAGATCTTAAATTTCAAAGAACTGTCAACTTTCTTTTCCTGTAGTTTTTATTCATTAAATATTGCAGTTATATAGGTCATCTACTGCAAACTTTGTTTAAAAAGTTGCCTTTCTAATGAGATTTGGCCAGTTTTGGTAATCAAGTTAGGATGGTAATGTCTACTTCTGCTAAAGGTAATTTTCATTTGCTGAATGCTTTTTCTTAATGTTTTTAAAGAGACCTTGAGTTCTAAGGCTGCTGGGGAAACTAGATCAATTCAAAGCAAAAGACTTCTTTCAGAAAGAGGCTACTCTGGAAACTGCTGGTAGGGTCTGGCCTTAACCAAGTGCCTATTAGCACCTTCCGGGGTGGAAGCGGCTCTAGACAGCAGGTCTCCAGCCAGCCAGCCCTGTGAGTAGAAGAACAGCACTTTCACCAGCAGCCTTCCCCATGCTTCTGCCTTTATTGAAAACTTTCTATGCCACTGTAGATAGCTCAGGCAAAACTATTACCTGGGTATTTATCCACTAATGAGTCACAAGAAAATGAGTGGATTTTATAAGAGTATATGTTTGTTTTATTTAAATAGCTTCCCATTACTGACCACACACACACACACACACACACACACACACTCTCTCTCACACTCACACTCACACTCACACTCTCACACACCACTACAGTTCCCAAAGCAGGTGAAACCTGTATTATATCCTTTCCACTTCAGGTAGCCATGCTCTTGATGTGACAGTACGGCAGAGTAATAAATTAACAATTGGGGACATAATCATTGATCTGTTCTTAAATGTGTGAATTATTAGTGGAAAAGACCCAGCTGTAATTAGACCTCCACTGTGTACTTAGCTGGAAGAACATGTTAATTCTGCAATATGTCTCTTGGTTAAACATTGCACAGTTCTTACCTCATTTCTGTAAATAAGGTTTTGTGAATCTGTTTTGTATTGTGAAAAATTCATAAGATAACATTGATATTTTGATTTGTAATATTTCTAATTGGTAGATTTAATTGAAAAGTAAAATTAATTTATTTTTATATGTTCAGGGGAATTTTAAAGAAAGCCAAGCCTTTTGTAGATAATTAAAAAAATCAGTGTGGTTTATTTTACTTATTTAACCCACTGGTTGTTATTCTGTAACGATTTGTATAAATGGTAAATTTTGAATGTGTTGTTATTTTACCTAGATGTAAAATTCCACATGTATTAAAATGTACAAAGTTTTTGTTAATAAAATTTAATAATGTTCATAACCCTGTGCCATTCTTGTTTGGTAGGGGCAACAGCATGTAGTGCATTCCAGCAGGCCTGGGTGGGCTTTTTATTGGGAGTATCTGTAGAATGTCACCTCAGAGTTATCTAAACTCTTCATGAGTGGATTTTGTACAGTGTGAGAACTGTGTGCAGAGCAAGGCAACCACATACTCAGAGACTTCAGAAAATCATGAGAGAGGAGAATGCACTCATTCTCTTTAATGCCTTAAAGAGGGAAATCATCTCAGTGGAGATAGAAGGAAAATCATTTCCAGATGAGATCATTCATTATAGCCCATTAATAAAGTAGCATTCATACTTGGTAAAGATTAAATTTGTCTGGTTTAAATAGTCAGCTATGGGGCTGGGGTTGTAGCTCAGCCGTAGAACGCTCGCCTCCCACGTGCGAGACCCTGGGTTCGATCCTCAGCACCATATAAAAAAATAAATAAGTGAAATAAAGGTGTTGTGTCCAACTGCAACTAAAAAATAAAAAATTTAAATAAATAAATAGTCAGCTATAACTAGGGGCATTCTCTGAAAGAGAAATACAAATTTAGTTGATGGTTCTTGGGTTAGGTCTTGGAAGCATCAGAATTGCCTATGGCATTTTTCAAAACATAAATGCTCAGATTTTATCCCAGTTTTAAGTGAATCAAAATATACTGATCTGGGGGCTGGGGATGTGGCTTGAGTGGTAGTGTGTGGCATGCGGTAGGCACTGGGTTCGATCCTCAGCACCACATAAAAAGATAAAATGAAGATGTTGTGTCCACCTAAAACTAAAAAATAAGTTAAAAAAAAAAAAACCCCAAAATATACTGACTTGTTTCTGGTAATTAAGGGTTCAGTGAATAAGAAAAACTGGTTCTAGGTTCCTGGAGAGAGGGATTTTGTGTGTGTGTGTGTGTGTGTGTTTCCTCCTTCCTGCTGCTGCTTCCTCTTTGGTAGGAACCCTTCCCAGGGGCAGTTAACCACTGAGCCCTTTTTATTTTTTGAGATTGGGCCTAGCTATGTTGTTCAGGGCCTCGCTAAATTGCTGAGGCTGGCTTTGAACTTGCAGTCCTCCTGCCTTACCCTCCCAAGTCTCTGGGATTACAGATGTGCGCCACTGTGCACAGCCCTGGAGAGTTTTTAAATACACAGATGAAAATTATTTGATTCTAGTCTGCTAGAATGACAAGTGGTTCATCCATTATTTATTTCTTTAATTTGCAAACTCTCCAAACAATTGACAATAAATGAAATATTACTTGGATGTGCAGTTTCTAACTTAATCTTAAAAGAATATCCTTGCTGGGGATGTAGCTCAGTGGGAGAGCACTTGGGGAGCATGTGTGAGCCCAGAGTTCCATCCCTAGCACCACCAATAAAAACCAAACACGTCCTTTATTCTGGTCCTTATTGTTAGTAGCTCCTTGGTGTGGCTTGTGTGCTTTCAGTGCTCACTGGCCTGTGGCCCTGGGGGTGAGCCTGGCTACCTTGCTGGCTCTCAAGTGAGCCTTGTGCTTGAGGAAGCATCTGAAGAGCTGCTGCTGAGTTGCTGGCCCTGAGGGGCTTGCCTTGGCTGGATCCTGAGTCGCCCCTGTGCATTGGGCCTGGGGATGTGCTGGGTTGTGGTCAAGATCAAGCACAAAGAGTAAAGGCCAAGAAAAACAAGCCACCATGTTGTTTTCTTAATTTTGTATCACCAAGTAGGGGAGGGAAGGAAGGAATGATCCCTAAACTGTGTGGACAGGCAGAATAGTCCCTGGGAATTTTATGGGAAAGGTGCAAAAGGAATTTTGCTTTTGTAAGTGGGTCACGTACTTTTGAATAGAAATCTCAAATACTGTTCATCTGTTTTATTTGTTGTCAGTGTTTCATTTTCCACGTTATCTGTGTAAACTTTCGGAATCAGATAGCTGTGAACTTTTATACACGTTTAGAAATCTGTTAAAAAATTGTTTGTTATGGCGCTGGGGATAGAACCCAGGGCTTTGCATGTGTGTGTGAGCATCTACCACTGAGCTACATACACCAACCCAGGAAGTTGTTTTTTAAATTATTTTTCATGTTGTTGAAAGTTCAATCCAACTGTTATTTGCAACAAAGGAAATGTGTTTTGCACACCTCTTGACTAACTGTACCGTTCTGTAAGATTCCTGTGAAATGTGGATTTCGTTTGACTGACTTTGTTCACAAACAGCTTGAGTTTGGCAGCTCTTCCCTGTGGAGCAGATTCCCTCCTTTGGTGAGGGACACAACCCTTCCTGTGGTCTCAGACTTCTCCTTTATAACCACTCAAATTTCTCCGGCTGTTCGGGGTCTGGCGTTATAGTTGTGACTGTAGAGCAGACACTGCATAGGCACCTGCAGGGCACTTTAACACTGTTAGGTCCTCACAGTTACTTTTGTGTTTGTGGTAGTAGGGATTGAACCCAGGGACACTCTGCTGCTGAGCAACATCCCCAGCCCATTTTTATTTTGCAGCAAGGTCTCGCTGAATTGCCCAGGCTCACCTCAAACTTGGCGATCCTCCTGCCTCAACCTCTGGAATAGCTGGAATTCCAGGTGTGCACCACACCTGGCATCATAACCACTTTTAAAAATGTGAGTGCTGGGGGTGTAGCTCAGAGATCCAGCATTGCCTAGAATGCAGTCACATTGTAATCAATGTGATCAATCTTGAGTACAACCCAAATGTGTGGCTTTAGCTCCCAGCACAGTTCCACCCTCCCTGTAGCAGAACTAGGGTTATCCTGTTCTCACTCTGCCTCTCCCAGGTGCCAGTGGTAAAGAGAAACAAAAACCTGGATGTGGCTGCAGGTAGAACTGGGATGTCCTTGATTCTGCATTAATTGTGAGCTGTAGCCAAGGTGTGGTTCCACCTGCCCTTTCCAATGGGGCGGGGGTGGGGGCTATGCAAACCTGGACCACTGTGCTCAAGCATTGCTACCCTGACATGGCCACAGAGCACACAGAGTGCAGTTAAGGCCCAATGGCACAGGGAGGGACTGGAGAGGAACTAGTGAAGAAACAGGAGACGGCTGCGGCTATAGCTCAGAGAGTGCTTGCCTAGCACGCCCAAGGCCTTGTTCAGTCAGTCCCCAGCACTGCAGAAAACAAACACAGGAGAAACCCCGGTGGGACTGGAAATCAAACTGATGTTGACACCTTCGTGGTTTATCCCACTATGAAACTTTGGCACCATAAACATAGACTTAAATGCATGCTCTTGGGTTTTATTGTGGGTCTATGAGGAAAACTGTGCTGGGCTGAAGCTTTCCTGCTTTGGTCCAAGTGAAGAGAAGCAGGAGTAGGGACCTCATAAACTAGGGCCCTTTCTTGCCCTGCAACCCTTACTTGCTCTGCAACCTCTTGAATGCCTGAGAGTTTCTTCGTTTTGATGGATGACCTGCGTTTAATCTCCATAACACTAATCTTTTCTATAACCCTTCCCAACACTACATTTTTTTTTTTTTTTAACTTTTGGAATCAAAGTCCAATCCCCCAAATCAGAAAAAAGACAGCAAAGGCCTGGGCTGCCCCTGGGGGTAAGGCATAACAAGATGCCCTCAAATGGCTCTGCCAGGCTACCCCACTACCAGCCTTCCGGCCCTCCTGGCAAGGAGGAAAGGGCATCAGTTGGCTCTGGAAAGCCTCCACGTACCCCAGCTTTAAGAACAGTGGCTGTGGCTGGGCCCCACCATCTCTTCTGGCTCTGTCCCCAGAGTCGTGGTGTCAAGGTTGTTTCTCTAACACTGTGCATTCCCGCAGTCCAAGATAGGAGGTCAGAGACGGGCTCGTGTTCTGGCCCTCCTGGTGCAGGGAACGTACCTGTGGACCAGTCACTGAATGCCAGCACCATGGGAGCAGCCAAGCAGTGCCCGGGACATGATGTGGGCAGACGGGCGCAGCCCAGCCCTCTCGCTGGCTTGGCTCCTGCGAAGGTGGGCCAGAAACAAAGCGGATTCCTTGGCAGCAAGAAGGTGGGTGGCAGAGCAGGCGGAGGGTTTGGAGCGTCCAGGCTTGGGGTTGGAGTGAGTCAGTTTCAGTGGGCTGACTGCTCCCTGGCTCACTCTGCCACCCAGGCCAGGCTCTTTCCTCTCCTGCCCCAAATGTCCACACTCGATTTTTAAATTCCAGGGGTTGTTTCCTGCAGGGCTGGTGGGTACCCAGGGCCCCATGCATGCCAGGCAGGTGCTTTTCCCAGAATCCATCCCTGATTCCAGTTCTGATATACAGGGCAGGTCTAGGTGTGGCCAAAGGGGAAGTTTCCAGTGGGATTTTGTCAGTGAGTTCTTCAACAGGGGAACGGTGAGGTCAAGTCCACGCAGACACCACTGTTTACCATGGCGACATCTTCCTCCTGGAACACTCTGTAGCCAAGAGGATTTGGTTTAAGTGATTAATTCATCTTCTGTTTTACACAGTATTTCTTTTTGAGTAATGAGGAAATATGGGAGGCTGTTCATTTTCCTTTATGACTGACTCAGGATTAGGTTCCTGGGGCAGTTCCTGCATGTGACACAAAGGAGGACAGGAGAAGGTAACTTGACTGCTGTGAGGGGTTTTCAGGAAGCCTGTGCTCCTTGGCTTCAGCCTTTTCAGGTGCCAGCTCTTGGCTGTGTCCCAGGCAGGGCAGGAGGGAAGAGCGTGCCCCCTCCTCACGTCGCTAGCCCCCTGGGCTTTCCACAGGGCAGCGCCCAGCACCCCTTCACTGACATGCGTCTGTCCTCTGGTGCCAGTGGTCCCTGTCTATCCTGGGCAGTCATTCTTCCTTTACCGGCCACAGAGGAACAACCAGCTGCTTGGTTTTCTGGCATATTCATTTAGCTCCCAAGTGAATAGAGTCCAAGGTTGCAGCCAACAGGTCACCCACACAGGAGACGGGTGACAGCAGGACAGTGGGTGGGCTTCCGCAAGGGCAGAGCCATCTGGCAGGGAGGACAGGCACTGCTGACAGCCTCTATGACTAGAAAGACCAGTTCCTGCCTAGACCTCAGCCCCGTGACAC